GCTTCAGCAGATATAAAACTCGTTTTATACAAAACTTTAGTTCGGCCAAAGCTGGAGTATGCGTCGTCGACTGGTACCCGCATATCAACTCGTTACTTCATGATATCGAAGCTATCCAGAATCGTTCCGCACGCTTCATATTATCAAACTATTTTCGTACGGCTAGCGTCTCGTCCTTGAAATCTTCCCTTAACCTACTTGATCTGTCTGTTCGCAGGAAAATATCACGACTTTGTCTTTTTCATAAAATTTATCACGCCAATTCAACACTCAAAGATTCGATGCTTTTTCCTCCCACTTATCATTCGACAAGAAACGACCATCAGTTCAAGGTTGGCGTACCCAGCAGCCGGACAAACTATTATTTCAACTCATTTATTCCTAAAACCTGCTTGGACTGGAACCACCTCCCCACCTGCATTGCTTCAATAATTAATCCAGCCAATTTCAAGGTGGCCATTAGTAGCCATATTACCTGAAATTTTTTTTTCGCGAATTTCGCGGTTTTGTGTAAATCCTGCTCGGTTGTTCCCGTGTACGGCAAATGTTTTTTTTGCGCCTTTTGATTTTTCCTTTCTGTTATTGTTTGTTTATTTTTCCAGTTTATGCGGATATTTCAAATATGTTTCATATGTGTAACCACACTCCTCCTGCATTGTATACCTGTAGAGTGTTTACCCCCCACTCCTCTCTGTAATGCCCTTGGGCCCTGAGAGTAAATAAATAAATAATAAATAAATAAATAAAATGGCGACGCGAATTTCAATAGAGATTTCATCTGCTCGGCGCGCAAGTGTATGAGCATGTCTGAGGCAGCTAGCCAGCCAGCCAGCCAGCCAGCCAGCCAGCCAGCCAGCCAGCCAGCCAGCCAGACAGACAGACAGACAGACAGACAGACAGACAGATGAACAGACGTACGGATGATCGCAGGAATGAACGGTCGCTCGGACGCACGCATGGACGGACTGATAAATGCTTCGCTTCGCACCCCACTAATCATCGTTCACTCCACTAATATACTGCGATTTTTGTCTCTTTTTTTCATCATTTTTCACTTCATTTCATTCCATTATTGCATCCTTAAAGGCTCGAGGGCATTACATAACGAGGTGGGCAACAAATACGCTGTGAGGGTGTACAATTCAATGTGAACAACTTATCATAAGTTATGCAGTTCTAAATACGCATATTGTAGTTTGTTCCATAATGACAACAACAACTAATCAAACAATAAACAAAAGAAACTCTTGACTGGGAAATTGAGTACAAACAATATGGCAAAACATTATACATGCAGTACGCTGGTGGGATATATCTACAGCCATGGGTTATTGGGTAGAATCAAAGTAGGATTCCAATTTCACGCGGAATGATGTGTGGTCAGGTGTGGTAACTATGAAGTCGGGGAAGCGATTCTGAAGTGTAATTTCTTGGGGGAAAAAGGAGTCGTTCATTGCAGATGTACGGCCATTCATTGGTTCCTTGTCTCGATTTCTCTTATCTCAATCATAATTGTTTCTTTTGTTCTTTATTTTGTAACGTCATCTCCCTCTTCCTATCTACCTACCTTATCACTCTTTCTTCCTAGATCAACTTCTGTTCTTGTGTCTTTCTATTTCGGTTCCACTTTTTTTGTCTGCATTTCCATCCCTTCCTTTATATGTATGAATTAGTTTCGCCGATCATGCTTTCTCGCTGCCTTCTCCTTCACGTCTCCTCTTCACCCCATCACTTCTCTTTTTTATCCACTGCTAAGCTACTTATTAAGCAAGGCTATGTTTCACTCTACTAGCATGCTTGGTTAGGCGATTGCTTGTAGTGCTTACCTTCAAATTGTGGGTTTGCAGGTTGTAACCTAGAATTTGAAAATGCTCGTTCTACCAGACAACTAACCTTTCGCAAACAGATTATTTCACGATTTAAAACGTGCATGGTTTACTGATTTCACAGTTCCCTGGTAATATTTAGAATGCCATACCTTTTGAAGCGAAAGTGGGTTAAGATTTCACTACAACACAACCAAAACACTATCTAGAGAAATATTCCGATTCATTATTGCCCGGTCATGTTTAGTGTGATGGCAGTCTTTATTTCAGTCGTTAAGTGGAAGTCTTTTTTTATCTGTGTTGGAACAGTTTCCTTTTTTGCTGTTTGTGTGCGTATCTTATGCACTGTGTGTACTAGTTGTTTCTTTCCAGATTCTTATTAGAACGTATATGACTTCTTTGGTTAACATGTTTCGAAGTTTCATTATGAATTGTCTCTTTTTGGACCCAAACTAGGCTATGGCTGTGGATCCAGACAGTGTCTACAAACTTTCTGTGACAATTTGGAGCAACAAAATTCAATTCAAGTTAACCATGCCACGTAGAAGAAATCATTATTTCACGAAAAATTTTTCCCTATCTCTTATTTTCTTTTCATATCTCTCTCAATCTGTGTGTTCGTGCTCTTGCTCATCCGAGTTATTGCATTTCTTGCCGCGAAAATCAGCGCAGAAGGAGAGCGTGTTCCGAGTGCACATTCGGGGAGCGAAGCAGAAGATGGGGAAGAGGAGGAAGGGAGCAGGCGCTGACTGACTTACTGCGCTTTGTACGCGTAAGACCAGTAGATGCCATTCATGGTTATTGCACTTTATGGTAACACACGTAACAACATAACGAAAAGCATAGCAGCTGTGCTGTAAATTTACCTAAATATATTTGAGAGATATAATAAAAACACTTGAGACTCTTAGTTATGAACAGGAAGGGTGAGAAGCAGTCCTTAAGGGGCTACCCCGTACAAGCACCAGGTAGGCAACCCTTCACGGAAGCCCATTGGTGTCGGCCGCAGCCCGGTCACCCTCAACCAAGTCCTGTTGGGTCGTCAGGCCGGAGCAGCCGACTAGGGCTGCTCCCAGTCCTTTCGAGAAGGGTTTAGTAGAGGGGTGAGTTTGGGAGTTTCTCGACACGCCCACGTCATGTTGAAAATGTCACAGGAGTTTTCCTCACAGTGCGAACTTTTCCCCGTGCAAGCGGGGTAGAAACGTTCAAGGATTGCCAGGCACAATAAAGTTTTGGTGTAAAGGCGAAGAAGGGTTGGCTTGCTTTTCCACCTTTGGGAAGCACTTACAGGGTTTGGTGGCTGAGTTGATAAAATGAGTGAGCTCCTTAACGGCGTAAGCAGGATTAGGCTCGAGGTCTTAATTGTAAGGAGACGAGGATGGAGCCCGGAGAATCAGTGCGCAAACAGCGGCATCGGCCGACTATCATCCAGGCCCATCTGGAATGGTGCTCAAATGACCCTTCGGTGATGCACCTAGGTACTGGCTGTTATGCAAAATTTTATATGCAATATCAAATAAAATTGCAGTATTGCAATAGAAAAAATGCAATCATAACACTTTTTGGCCGAATTCTTGGAAGCGTATCTCGCAAAAAAATTGCGCTATTATTATTGCGCTTCAAACACCTTACGCATGCTTCTTTAGCTAACATGTAGACCAAATTTATTATAGAAAAAAAGCGGTACCTCTAAAATAAATATTTTCCTAAACAACACCCAGACAACGTTCTTGGAAGTTCGGAGGCACGCATGGGACCAACAATTTTTTTTCTGTCGGAAATGTTTTAGCAATTCACTGTTTTCAATGGAGTAAATCATTAGGGTTTTTTTCTAAACACAGTTGAGATAGTAGCCAAAATGGCCGACATTTGGCGTGGAATGACCCTGCGGGGTTTTGGTGAAAGACCACAGCTGTGAAACAACACCCGTGGTGAGGGCTGGAGGTATTCGTGTAGAATACTTCCAATTTGGGACGGTAGTGGCGAGCTAAGGCTCCCGACCACATGAGACGTCGGCCACTGTGGTCGTCTCAGGTCATGTTAGCCGTAAAAGAGCGCACATAGACATAGTATTTCGAAACTTCTCGAATCCGTACGAGCTCTTGCGGTCATATTGAGTGATTGATGTGTTGTAGGGCAAGGAGGCGGGGACCCCACAATTGAATATATTTGGAACGTGCAGTTTACTGCATTGCACTCGCAACCTAAATAGTTGAGGAATAAACAACAACTGGTTAATTACACACCTTCTGCACGTTATCTATACAGTTAGTGGCACACACGCAATTGAAGCATTATTAGTGCGTTTTCTCTGCGCACGCTAGCGCGTAAATGCATGCATGAACGTTTTTTCCCGTAAGCGTGAAGTATTTCGTACTGGATCTTTACGTCAAAGCCTATAGTGTGAGTTGAACACCCGCACTGAACTTGAGGTTTAATTATGCCACATGTATGCCTTGTAGTCAGGGGATATTGTAAGTTCAGAAGAACAGCCAACGGAAAACAACAGTGTTTGAATTCAGCAACCCAACCTCTCATTTTAGTGTTTTATTCCGCCACTTCAACGAAAAACATTTCAAGGGTGTAAGAGGGTAAGTTAAAGAAAACAAAACACCTTTAAGTGAATATGTACTGAATGTGAAGGAGTAACGAGGAATTATTTTACGTGCAGTGCTTAAAAAAGAGATAAAATACTTTCCAATGATGATGTTCTGTGAAAGTGACCCTGATTGATAATTATGGCAATACGGACGACAGCAAACAGCTCTTTAGAATGGGCAGCTTCTTGATGGTTTACACTCCGCTATTTAATTCCACGAGACAAGACAGGAGGGAGCTTAGAAAGACTGCTACCGTGTTAATACTACACTTGATGTTTGTAGGGCTTTCATCATAATTCAACAGCTTAAGTATTCAAGGGCATTTTCTTTGTGCAGAATATACTTTATATGACAGGAGAGAGCAAAAGAGTGGCTACTTGGGAAGAAGGTAGGTAGGATTGGGCACACAACCTATCTGTCTTCTTTTCGAAACGTTCACTGCGCACTAAGAAAATATAGCTCTTTAAATATGAAAAAAGCAAGCTTAAGCAATTCGCACCATGCGAAAGAAGCTGAGGTTTCACATGCAATAATAGACAGGCAACAGGCTCGAAACAATGATAAACACGCATACCTGCAGGGGTCGGCAAATAGACTTGGTAAACCCAAGCCATCAAAACCAAAAGAAGAAGTGCGAAGGCTGTTGCCGTTTTACACCAGGCGTTTTCAATTCGCCACATAGTCACCAACTGATAGGCGCGCCAGAGATGCCGTCGATGTTGAGTGCAACTTTCCGAAGCACCATCTCGGCGATGTGTTGATCTACGGGCACAACATCGACGACGGTATAGGTAACCGCGTAAGTACGCAGCCGGCACGATGCTCTCCTAACAGCTGCGCTCCACATGTGTCCTCCCTTCTCCACTCTTTTTCCTGCTGCTTGCCTGTGCAGCGCAGCAGACACTGGCTGCTGTGCAGTTGCTTAGCTCAGAGCTTGACCGGCTCGCCAGGTGAACTGTCGGCTGATCACTCCGCTGAATGTGATAGCGCTGCACGGTATTAGTAAGAGCGCATTCATGATTCAGTCAAGCGAGTTGACCCGCATCAGTGCTCCTGACAGTATAGGCGGGCACAATGAATAAGGCCCGGATGCTGGCGCACGGCAGCCGAAAAAAGGGAGCTACAGAAAATGGATCCGTTTTCAGCAGCAACATCATAATTTATTGACAGTGATTATCTTTTGCTTATTTGTGGAGTGTCAGATGACAAAAACCAGAGAAGCGCTCGTTTTTCACACTTCGTTCCATCAAGTGCCTTGCAGAGCACACGCTAAACCACTGTTCCGAGTATATCATGTAAAGTATTTGGCCAACATCTACCATCATTCTATTTTACAGCTGTACAAACCACAAACTGGCCACAGCTATTTTTTTTATCGGAAGTTGCTAGCCTACGCACCAACATCTCTGCAAGCCTAGAACATACCACAATATTGGTGTGTGCCTAACCTTCGTATTCACACTACGAAGGCTATTTCAGACCCACTTGAAATGGCTAACGCTTTCAATGTCTACTTTCAGTCTGTATTCACGCATGACAACAGTCCTCTCCCAGTATTCAGAAGCCCTAATCCTGAGCTCGCTATTGATGATGTGTTAATTAACAAGAACGGCATCCTTAACATGATACCTAAGTTAGACACAAAAAAGTGCACAGGTCCTGACGACATTCCAAACAGCTTTCTCGTACGATACTCTCTGTAGTGTGCACGTTATTTGTCAATCATTTTTCGAAAATCCGTATTTTCAAGCACTGTCCCCCAGTCCTGGAAACTAGCCAAAGTCTCGCCCTTGCTTAAGTCTAGTAACAAGCAACTCCTGTCCAACTACAGACCGATATCACTTACTTCAAATTCCGGTAAACTGCATGAGCATGTCATTCACAATCATATAGCGGAATATCTTGAGTCAAATAACATACTCTCGAACATTCAACTTGGCTTTCGTCGTGGTTTCAGCACACTAACACAACTGGTTGAATTTGCGCATGACATATCCAGCAATCTTGACATTGGCAATCAGATTGACACGTTATTTATGGACTTTTCTAAGGCCTTCGACACAGTTACACACAATAAGCTGCTAAGTAAAATTGAAGCTATTTTAAACAACCCTCGATTAACCAACTGGATAGCTAGCTTTCTTAAATCTCGATCTCAATATGTGTCATTCCACTCCACTTCGTCCTCAACTGTCGATGTAACTTCGGGTGTTCCACAGGGATCCGTTCTAGGACCTTTATTATTTTTATTATTTATAAATGACCTTCCGAACAATTTAAAGTCTCAGGTCCGTCTTTATGCCGACGACTGCGTCTTATATCAGGTAATTTCTTCTCCTAGCGATCATGCCTTACTTCAGAATTCCTTCACCAGCTTTCGCACATGGTGCAGGCTTTGGCAGATGCGCATTAACTTTCGGAAAACTGTAGTGGTATCATTCACTAACAGCCGTTCTCCGTTGCTGCATGATTACACTTCCGAGAACACAATAATTCTCCGAGCACAAGAGTATAAATGGCTTGGGGTTATCTTATCACACAACTTGCATTTGCCGCGGCATATTGAATACATCACATCCAAAGCACTGAAAAAAATAGGTTACCTGCGTCGTACGTCATCTAAATCTCCGAAGTGCACCAAGTTACTGCTGTATAAATCGCTCATACGCCCTATACTAGAATATGCTTCATCTGTCTAGAACCCGTATATAACATGCGACGTCAACAAAATTAAATCTGTTCAAAGGAAGGCGGTTCGTTTCATTTGCCATTGCTACGATCATAACTTTTCACTTTCATCAGCAATGACTTCCTTGAAACTCCCTCTCCTATCCACCAGACGTGATACCGTTTCTTTGAAGCTATTGCATTCATTTCTTAACTTATCTTGTCGACTATCTTCAGATGATTACATCTCATATGCTGATACTCTTTCAACTAGCCGTTACCACAGCGTCAACTTAAAGCCTTTCTTTACACACACGAACATTTTCAAGAAAAGTTTTTTCCTAGAGTTATTGAAATGTGGAATGACTTACCCGGTAGTATTCGTGAATTATCGTAGTCAGAATTTGTAGACGCACTGTTATAATGAATCATTTTTTATGTCAACCTTGTAATCAGTGTATTTTGTTCATGTAAATGTACCCCCCTCCTGCAGTAGCCCTGTATTGGGCTGCAGTATTTGAAAATAATTAAAATAAATACTGTAAACTATTTCTTGGCTCATATTATGGCGTATCTCATGTCTCTGTTGAAGAATTGTTTTATAATTCTTTTCTGAGCTGATTTTAATAATAAGTTTCAGTGCGAGAGCGAATATACGGACATTTTTGGCTGATTTTTGTCGTACTTTAGGCCACAAAGAAAAATATTTAGGAAAAATATTTTCTGATGCACGTAATCGACTGGGTGACTGCTCACTCCGCTTTGAGTGGCGTTAGCCAATGAGCCACCAAAGCGCATGTCCTCTTTATCTGCCGTGGTAATAGCGAGCCATTTTCGTACACTATTTACCGCAGAAATTTTGCCGATCTCGGGGAAATATCACTGTGTTATCACCTTTTTCAGTGCGATGGTGCGTAGGCGCACTCGGCAGAGCACTCATGCCGTGTAGTTTGCCCTACGCTGTGTGCTCACCAATGCGCCCTTCTTTCGCGGTGCTTGAGTATTGTCCGTCTTGGGCTTCCACCGGACCGATTGCGTTGTAGGTACCGGGTGCACGACGGTCACTTCGCTCACTGATGTCTCTTTGTTTGCGGTATTGTGGGTCCACATCAGAGCTGTCGAATAAGATAAGAAGGAGATCGATATTCGTGAACCTCTACGTGGCTCGCAGCATTCTGAAAACTATGTTGGAACGGCTATGTGGAAAATTGACTTAGAAAAAGCATTTCATAGGGTATGCCAATAACTTCCATTCATAGGCGCATCAGTCGGGAGGCGCTAGCTTCCCCACTCAGAAAAGTTAGGCGGCTGAGCCCCCCCCCCTTTTTTTGACAGTGGTCCCGCTTGGCTGCATGCTGGGGGAACGGACAAATAGGGCCGAGTCCAAAACTTTAAGTCCGATTTGAAGGAAATACCCTTTCATGAAAAGATACCGTAAAAGTACTAGGTACGATGCGCCAAGCTAATTAGAGATGTCTGCACACAATCGCGATTCTCAAAACAGTGCTGCAGCATATCTTATGCATGATCTTACGTGTAACATTTAAACGTAAGGGCATGAGAGAGCAGTACACACTCCGACTGGTCAAAAGTCTCATCATCGGCCGTATTACATACTCACTTCCGTATAATACTATGAGCATGGAAGAGAAAAAAAAAAGCAAACCAAATCAAACCAAATAATAAGAATGGCCAAGAAAACAGCCTTTTTTTCAAAAAATAATAAGAATGGCCTAGAAAACAGCCTCTTTTCAAAATTTTGAGATGGCTATGGAGTATCCGTAGGAAGGGCCTGAATTCGCCCATTTGACTCGACCAGCTATTACCACTGGTTAAAAAGTTCATTGTGTTAATTTCTATATGTTCTTTTGTTTCCTTATTGTTTTTAGTTGCTTAGTTTCTGTTTCTAGAGTTTCTTCTGTTTTTTTTTCTTTACTCAAGGAAAGTGTCAATATGTCTGTAGTTTTGAAAAATGTGCTTGCATGTTCTTTTGCATTTATATTATTTTCCCTCTTGGCTGTACCAAATACCTGTCTTAGATTGTTCACCTGGTATATTCCCTCTGGGATTGACAGTGTGTATAAATAAATAAATTGTAACGGGGTTTATTTGCAGCGCAGAACGCAGAAAGCGAAGCAGTCAGCAGCGTCCGGCCAAGCGCAGCAAGCACGAGATTAAGCTGATGGCGATGCCCCTGATGCGCCAAGAAATGCTGCTGAAGCTCCTCTTCACTACACTCGCCCTCCGTACAAAAAGACGCCATCCTGGCGGATTAGGGAGAAGAAACTACTAATGGGTCGTAATATGGCTTGAGACGAGAGACGTGGACAGTGTCGCGGCCGCGGTAGCGTAGGTCTGTGGATGAGATGAGGGGCTCCACGATATAGTTGACGAGTGACGTTTGCTCTACAACGCGGTATGGCCCGATGTATTTGGGAAGAAGTTTTTCGGAGCAGCCAGGCGCGGTAGCAGGTGCCCGAAGCCATACTAATGAACCAGGTAGAAAGTTTGGAGCCGAACGGTCCCCAGTCTGGCGGGATTGCTGCTGCCACTGGTCCTCGGTAGAAAAAGAGCGGGCAAGCTGGCGGCATTCTTCAGCATATCGGGCAGCTTCGGACAGAGTTGTACTTTCGGACTCATAAAGTTTATATGGAAGAATAGTGTCTACTGTATTCGAAGGTTCTCGTCCGTACAAAAGAAAGTATGGCGAAAACCCAGTAGTAGCTTGTACGGCAGTATTATACGCGTAGGTGACGAACGGGAGAACTTGGTCCCAACTTGAATGATCAGAGGCGACGTACATCTACAGCATACTGCCAAGAGTATGGTTGAAGCGCTCCGTCATGCCATTTGTTTGAGGGTGGTACGCTGTACTTGTGCGGTGCACGATTCGGCATTCGTTGAGTAATGCCTTCAAGGCGTCAGAAAGGAAGGCACGGCCTCTGTCACTTAAGAGCTCGCGAGGGGCACCATGACGCAGAATGAAACGTTGCAACAGAAACGTTCCAACGTCACGGGCTGTGGCAGCCGGCAGCGCGGCTGTTTCGGCATAGCGTGTCAGATGGTATATCGCAACAATAATCCAGCGATTACCAGCTAGAGTTGATGGTAGTGG